AATTTGGAAGACGGTAGCTCCATAAATAACCCATCCAGAGCTCCACCGTTACATACATTAGGTCTCGCAAATCTCTGTGGCTTTAAATAAAAACAAAGAAAAAATTTCGTGGGTTGACATAGTTTTTCCTTTGAAAAGCTTATTCTTTGAGAAAATATCCTGCCAGAAGGCAACATGAAGAATGATGTTGATAACAAAGAAACCAACGTTTTAATGCACGTTTCGTGTCAGGTACCATTTTTATATAATTATTTACTTTTTTTTTGTAACATGAACCAATATGTAGACCGAATTCGGAAAACCGAAGACGAACTAAGAGGATCCCGGATATAGGAGATCTGATTACGAACTGTAAAAGGAGCTGGATGTGACATTTTGCGATGCATGGTGAAGACAGATGGAATAATGCGATATTCTAATGGTGGCCAAGAAATGGTTATCGAAACATGAGACGTCCTGTAGCGAGACAGGTGGACGACATCGTCAAAGTTGCGGGCCGCAGATAGGTGAGACACAGGATCGTATTGATCCAGCAATAGATGAAGTCACGCTGTGGATGACAAACGCGAGCCAGTGAAAATACAAAATATATTTGAACCTTTTTGTTACACTAATATAATAAGATGAAAAAGAAAAATCAGGAAAATTATTTAGTCGTCGCCAAATTAAACCGAACGTCCGGATTGACGAGTTATTGAAATAAGAAACGAGTAACAAAGCGTTTTGTTAAGGCGCAGTTATTTAATCGTAAGGAAATGAGATGCGAAACGTCGAACTTTTCGGGTCATTGATTTGAATAGGGCGGCTCTAACAATAGGTCGAACTTGGGATCTTTTTGTTAGGCGCAATGACGTATGAATGGAATCTTTTCAAACGCTATACATTGCTTTTTAAGGGCATGACGAACACATATTAAAGAATAAAATCCATCAATGAATTTGTTTAAGCTGCTAACAGATTGATTGCATGTTGCAAGTCGTAATCAATTTCATACAGCCGTGACCACGACTGTATGAAGTTGATAACGACTTCACGCATGCGCACGCATTAATTGCAAGTATGCAGTCAATCTGTTTGCAGCCCTAGTGGATTACAGTGGAAAAGACGTCAAAAAGTCATATTCTCACACAATATTTCGAAAAATTCATCATTGCAGCCCGAAGACGTCCATTGCTGGACATAGGCCACTGCAAAAATCGCCACAACGATCAGTCCTACGCTATACGCGTCCAGCGGTTTCTCGCAATCTTTTCCAAGCCAACCGCGTAGGTGGTCTATTCACGCTGCTGTGTCTTCCGGTACGCGGTTGCCACCATTGTCACTCATAAACTGCACAAAGAGAAAAATTAATAAAAAAAAAAACAAAGAAAATGTACGATAAAAATCGCAGCAATATGTTACACAAAATTAAATATATCTAAAAATATTCAAGACAATCAAGAACTTCTTTTGTTGTGTGTATGTGTAGTCCACCTGTTAAAAATAACTCAACAAGTTATGAGATGGGCTACGTTTGGAGTTTCTCTGTAGGATAATATTCGAAATGAGGTTATCCGACAATTATTTGGTGCAATAAAGAACCAAATCGTTGACTAAGCCGCTCACGCGATACATGCAGCCGTAGACGCATACCACACCTAGAGGTGCCGGTGATGATTTTATACCGATTTATCGGATATCGAAGTTATAACAGGTAAAAGAACTAATATTAATTGCTATTTCGGTAACTACTCTAGCAAACCATAAAGTTTTTAATGCCTGGGTCTGTCATTTAAAAAAATAAACAACTTCAAAAATACGTCACGACCATCGTGTGTGTTATTGTTTGCGCTGGTGATTTCGGTGTTTATTTATTGAAAACATACCGTAAGTAGCGTTTTTTAAATTAATCCTGAATATAAATGTTTATAAACTATACTTTAAGGAGTAATTTCATGGTAAACATT